TTCATGTGCTGTCGCTCAAATAAGAAGAAAATTTAAGTCTAGTTAATAAATTCACAGGGTTCAAGTATCCAAGTTTATCATAAGTTACAGTTATTCAGCAAAGTGGGTGCGGTGAGCAGCAACATCCTCTGTTTTATCCTGTCGTTCGTAGCTGCTACAAAGATATGGTGGCGCATCTGTGTATGGCTGCACACATCAGTACTACAGAAACTTATCACTACAGTAGATCCAAATGTGTCCACAAATCTGCAAAATATTAAATGTTTTATTGTTTTAATGAAGAGGCACATTCAAATTTAGCACATTGCTTTGTTATTTCATTTTAGAGTAAAGTACAATACAGTATGTGTATTTTGTTGCAAAGAAATTACCATAGATTGGGTACTTAATTGCAAATCGGCTTCCTCCTCCATTCTTAGTTGTAGCTTGCTGTCTTCCACAGTTCTCATTGTAATGCATCGCGGCTAACAAAGTCCTGTGGAAATCATAAAAAGATTTTTATTTATCATTTTTAAATATTTATAAAATTATTTTAATTATAGGTCATTCAAACTTTATTCACGATGAAACATGTTCAATCATGATTGTTCTTGTCACCCTTGTGTTTACATAAGTTTGTGATAAAGTGATATGATTAATAAAACCAGTTGAGGATATATATAATATTATATCTAAATTAACACAGGCTATACCAATAACTAAACCAGATTATCATGCAAATGGTGTTGGTAGACAAACCATTACTATTAGGCTAGGTGCAAGTTTTAAATAGCACTAGCCTAGTACTGTAGTAGTAGGTAGTAGGTAATAAGTACACTCTTTCTCGCCAGTCATGTGCATGTAGTACATTCCTACTATAGGCTACAGTGTAGACCTACTACTTAGTACTAGATTCTGTACTTCTACTACTCTCTATGCTTGCCTAGGCTACTGTATGCTATTGAATTTTTTAATTTTTAAAAACACAACGAATACAAATTAATCATTTCACATTACAGCCTTATGTTAGAGAGTAAAGTCATTAAGTGTTATTTATACGACCGAAAATTTGAGGGAGGGAGGCCCAGCTTCTTCCGAAAAACATGGTGTAGCTAGACTCTACGCGAAGGTCAGCCCGGCCTGGTACTCGCACAATTTGTGAAAGGAAAACAAACCTAGGCCTACCCTGGACCTCTCTCTCTCTCTCTCTCTCTCTTTTCGTAGGCTGTAGATCTTCGTTTACTGTCCTGGTTGCCCATCAACTGTCCTGGTTGCCCATCAACGGCCCTGGTCGAAAAGGTTTTTTAAAGTGTTGGGATTACTCCATCTTTTTTGTTTTTGCGGCCAGACAACCCAAGCTTGTTTTGCCAGTACACTTCTTGACTCGAAGTCATCGACCGGAAAATGCTCGCTGCACAACACTGAATGTATGGAGCCCTGGAAGTGTACTCAAGTTTTTCATACGGCTCCAGTATATTTTTTTCTTTAAAATTCCGTCTTTTGGGAACTGATGCTTGGTAAAATTGTTTGAATGGTTGTTGCTGCAGCCATACCATGGCCGGCGGAAGCAGGGGGCCGGGGGGCCCAGGCCCCCCCCCCTTTTTGGCGAAAAATATATAATGTCTGGAGATTTTTGTACTGTAAAAAAAGAAGGGAAGAAAGAGGAGAAGGATGGGAAAGAGAATGTTTATCCAGTACCCAACCGAGTTACATTTTCTCGCAATTCACATTTGCGGATCTGGGGGAGGGGGTCATGGGTCCTGACCCCTTCCTTGGGCAACAACAAAAGGGGAAAAAAAAGAATTCTAAAACTATCTTTTCAGGACCCGTGAGCTGATTTTTTTTTTTTTTATTGCTATTAGAAAATTAGAATTTTGAAGAACATAAAATTATAATGATATAATGAACAGATATCACAATA